CTTTTAACTACTTGGTATAATGTATCCAAATTCTCAGACGTTTGTTGTGTAAATTCTGCATGGCTGTGCACCGTTTTTCTTAATGCCTTCTGGCATATTGTGATGCACTACAACGTGATTATCTTTGTTGCATCAGCATAATCCGGGCTGGTGCATTCTGCGGTAGCTTTTTGTCTGATTTTATCATCCAGCACTATTTTCAGTTCACAAAGGGCTTAAACGACGTATCCAAGAATAGATTTAAAGTCACCAATGTAAGGAGTGAACTTCAAGTCGCTCTAGGTTTAGTCAGAACATGTTCTAATTTTCTTAGAAGTTACACCACCATAACCGCGGAAAAAAAAACAAAGAAAAAAATAAGCCTCCCTGCATAGGAGAGCATACGGCCACAGGGGGGTGGTTGCGGTGAGAGCCAGGTGAGCCTAGGGGAGGAAATCTGTGTTTAGATTCTGCCCGTGACAGGCTGCCGGTAGCCTGGGACAAATCCCTGCCCTTCTCTGGGTTTCAGTTTTCCCCAGTTTGAAATGGGGATAATTCCTGTAGATTCAAGAGTTTATCCGGCCTGGGGGAAATCTACAGCCTCAGGAGAACCGGCTAAGAGAGATGACGGAGGGGGAGGGGTGAGGGGCATCGAGGAGCTGCGAGGGGCTTGCGGTCTCCATGGTAACGCACAGCAGCCAGGAGAGGGGGCGGGGCTTGGGAACCCGGAGCTGGAGGTTTTTGAAAATGAAGGATTCACAAAGAAAGCCCCCTCCTCCCTCGAGAAAGGCCTCGTGGAAGATAGAGCTCTGCACTAGGACAGGCCTCTGTGCCAGATGGCAAAGTGACTCTCGCCCCTGTGGCAGGGAGAACACGACCCAGAGTCAGAAGGAGAGGTGCCTGCAAGGTCCTGGCAGGGCCAGCGTTTGGAACTAGCTGTCCTGCCTTCTAGGCAGTTCTCTCCTCTGTACCAGAATCCCCCATTTGTGTGAGACAGTGAGGGCCCTTCCAGTTCTGACAGTGTTTGATGAAACAATTAGCAAACTCACTCCAGACGGTGGAAACCGAGATGGGGATGGATCCTGCCGCCTGTGAGGCAAGTGCATTCACTGTCTGATTGCCTCTGAGTCCCCACCCCAACCAACCAGAGCAGTGTCACCAACAGCAGTGGAATGGCCTTCTCCTCCTGACCAGAGGAGATATATCCAGGGCTTGAGCCACTTCTTGTGGGCACACAAGCCATTACTGTTCTTCAGACTTCAGAGGATTTGGGGGGAAAAAGGAGCAGGCATTCAACAGGCCCCCAAAACAGAGCTCCTGGGGAGCAAATTTCACTTCTGTGTCGTGAAGAACATGAGAGTAAGCTATTAGATAAGGTGCTGAGTTCCTTTCTACACTTACAAACCCTTCCTGCCTCCCCTGGGCCAGTGCGGGTCAGTTGGTTGGAGTATTGTCCTGAGTACCGAAGAGCTGAGGTTCGATTCCCAGTCAGGGCATGTACTTAGGTTGCAGGTTCGATCCCCTGTTGGGGCGCATATGGGAGGCAACTGATTGATGTTTCTCTCTCACATTGATGTTTCTCTCTCTCTCCCCTTCCTTCCCTCCCTTCTTCTCTCTCTCAAATCAATTAAAAAACATGTCCTCAAGTGAGGATTAGAAAAACACACAAGCCTTGCCCCTGGCTCACCCTTGCCTGGCAAGATGAAGCCCAAGCCCCTTAACACGGCAAAGGCTTCAGGGTTTGACCCCTGCTCCCCTGCAGCTTCATCTCTCACTATTCTCCATCTTGACTATAGTGTTCACCAAACTGAACTACTTATTATGCTGTTTCTTCTGCCTTGAATGCTAGTCCCTGTCTTGTACCACAAACCCCCTTTCACTTGCTCATGTGTATTTGAAGACTTAGTTCAGGCCTCACTTACTCCTAGAAGCCTTGCAGACACCATAAGCACGAGCTCCTTGAGGACAGGGACTGGAACTTCATTTAGCTCGGATCCTGGCAGAGCATCACTGTCAATTGAAGGAACACATGAATGCGAATGTTGGGGAAGAGGCTGGAAAACCACCTGACAGGAGTGCTATAAAAGCAAATGGAAGGTTCTAATATTTCCAAGTTTTACGAGTCAACAGTTCCCTAATTCTTGGTGAAGATTCAGACTTGGGCTCCCCTCCATCTTGATACCACTCCCCAGCTATCCGCTTCCACCCAGTGCCCTCTGAGTGTTCGCAGGCAGGCGCACACACATGTTCTGAACATAACCAGGAAAGCAATTTACAAGAAATAATTGCCGGTCGATGTGTGCTTGGGAGCAGCAGTGAGCTCAGACTATTTTCTGTCTGTGCGTCAGCCTACCCAGCTTCCTTCTTCCTCGGCTGCCCTGGGGGAGGGGGCCTCCTGCTGCACAGGGTGGACAGTTTGTTTCCAACCCAGGACTCAGACAAGCCAGGCCCAGTGAGAGCCAGCTCTGAGGATTGATTGAATTCAAACTAGAGAAGCTGAATGTGAGAATGGATGGGGAGGAGCGTTATGGGCCTGGGATGTGTAGGTCAGCAAAGACAGCACACAGTCTATTTTCCCCTTTCCCCACCCCATCCACACAGGCTCCTGCTGGGGAAATTCTACCAGGTCTTCAGAGCCCTGCTTAGTGTGAGGTCTCCTCCTAACCTCCACCTCTGAGTCCTCTTTGTTCTTCCTGGCCAGTCTTGCTCAAAGGGTGGTCGAAGACCAGCAGCATCAGCATCACCTGGAACTACTTAGAAATGCAAATTCTGGGGACTTACTCCAGACCTACTGAATCAGACGCTCTGAGCAGGGGAGAGAGGTGGGGCCCAGCAATCTGATGCAGGCTCGAGAGAACCATTGTCTTAGCCCACTGACAACCACTGGAGTTTTTAGAATTTACAGATCATCTTCCCCTATCAGACCTAAAGGCAAGGGCAGTATTAGATTTTTCCTTGTAACCTCCCAGAAGGCCCAGCACAGAAAGCTTTCAGAGAAAAATTGGATTTTACTGATGGGGATGCTAAGAAGAGAGACAATCTGTCCCGTGAAAGATCACACAGAACATCAGTGACCAAACTTCCCAAAACATGCTGTTCCTGGGCTATGCAAGGCTCTCTCACTGTTTCTGAACAGGTTGTACTCTGACCATAATGTCTTCTCACCTTGTTTTACTTAGAAATCATCTTTGATGATTCAGCTTGAACATCACTTATTGCTTTCTCAAGCTGCATGAAGGGCTGCCATCGGGCCAACTGCCCTTCTGTGTACCTACCTTGCCCTCCAGATGAACATCTGAGGGCAGCAGCTGTGGCTGATTCCCTTTTGTTTCTGGTAATCTGCACAGGTCCTGGAACAGAAGATGCCACTGAATATACAAGAAGTAGACAAAGGTGCTGGGTTTAGAGAGCTAAAAAATAAGACACGCACATATACACACATGCACACAAGACGACAAAATAAAGCAAGACCAGAACTGATGTCTCTCTGGCTCCTAGCCTAGGGCATTTCTGTGGGGGATTCACCCTGCCTTTCCACCCCATCACGTGCCCCTGGCTGGCTCAAGCCCCATGTACAGATATCTAAGAGTGACCAATTCACGGTTGCCACATCCAGCAGCGGGTTGTGTCACTGTCAGAAATGTCAAGAGCTGCTTTCAGTGGCTACTGAGTTTCGCTAAGCCCTGCCTTGCACTCCCAAGGCAAAGCCTAAAGCCACTGCTAAAGTTAAGATGAAGAGAACACTGGGGTGATCCTTTATACTTGCTATATGGGATGCTTCTCTTTTCATGACTCACTTAATAAAGCCAATTAGATTTTTTTGAAAAATGAGAACAGTTGGGAGAGAGGGGTAGCAGTCAGCATCCTGCCGAAAGATTTATTTGCCACCAGCTTCATTTAACAAAAATAGCTTTCTGCCCTGGCCAGTGTGGCTCAGTTGGTTGGGCATTTTTCCCATGCACCGAAAGGTCACTGGTTTGATTCCTGGTCAGGGCACATGCCCAGGTTGTGGGCTTGATCCCCAGTAGGTGGTGTGCAGGAGGCGGCCAATTGATGTTCTGCTCTCACATCGATGTTTCTTTCTCTCTCCCTCTCCCTTCCTCTCTCTCTAAAAATCAATAAAAATATTTTTATAAAATAGCTTTCCATTTGCCAACTCTGTCCTAAGTACTTTGCATGGGCTAATTTACTCTTCCAAAATCTTATGAGGTAGGTATTACTATTATACCCGCTTTAGAGAACCAAGGCACAAATGTTACCTAGCAAGTAAAGGCACGGACAGGATTTGAACCAGGCATTTAGCTCCAGGGTACCTGCTCTTACTGTTATGAAAAACACCCATTTGTAATTTTAAAGCATTTGTAGTACTTTCATATTTATGAAGGAGGTTCATATCCATCCTCTCTGAACACTCACCATAACCCAGCAAAGGAAGTGAGGCTCAGGGCAACTAAGGGGCTTTCAAGGCCACAGAGGGTCAGGGAATGGCCGAGTCCACATTGCGGAGCCTGTGTTTGGTCTGCTAACCATTCATTCCCTCACTCGCTGATTCACTTTTATCCACCTAAGGAACTGAGTGATATTAAACATGGTTGGGCCCTGTGTACTCTATATTCCCTCTCATTCTATTCCTTGGCAAGGGGCTCACTCAAGGAGTGGGGAGGAGCTGCTGGAGAGGCAGGAGTCACCTGCCTCTGGGTACCAGTCATCTTCCATGGTATCCCAAGTACATCTGCTCTGTGGCAGGAGGAACAAGTCAGGGTTCTCTGACTCCTCAGGTTAGGTGAGGGCTCCTCTGAGCCTCTACAGGCCCTCGGCTTCTCCTTGATTGCATGGAGTTGATACCATTTTACGTGGGATCCACGTCTGAACTCTCACAGTGGCTAGGCACAGAACAGCTGGGTCCACAGCAGAGCCTTGGTGTGTTTGCTGGGAAAAGCCCTCGTTTATCCTGCTAGGCACTGAAATCCCTTTGATCATCCCCATGCCTGCCTTTCACTGAAAAGAGACTCCAGAGAGGATGGTATAGAGACATTTATTGAATGTCTACGGGACTGGTCCATGTAAGATTAGATTGGGGACAGGGGCCTCCTCAGGGCTGCCTGGAATGTCACTGGTGGTCACTGTGGCCATGAAGCAGTACTGGAAGAGGTGTTTGCGGTCCACAGCCTGCTCCTCATTGCAGTCCAGCTGTGGGTTCAGGAAGGGGTGACTCTGCCCTTGAGGGCTCACTCCTGGCACTTCCACCGACTTGCCTGTATTCCCATCTTGGTGGACAGGGGACATCTCCTCCGGTTCTGGAAAACAGCAAGCTGAGGGCATGGGGTTATTCCGCACGCCATTCTTCCCACCAGGCTCACACACCCTGGCTAACTTCCCTGAGTGCTTACCTTGGACAGGCAGGACTGTGCTGAGTCTTATACGCATCATTTGTTTAACAAATATTTATTAGCGATATACCACACATCAGTGCACTAAGAGCTGTCAATGTTCCTAATGAACTTAAAGTTTAGTGGGGGAGACAGACTAAACAATTAGGAGATACGAAGATTTGACCTTCACCGTAAACCCATGAGGTAAGTACTATTAAAAAACTAATTTTATAAATGAGGATACAGGCCAGGGTTGTGCCTTCCCACCAGTCTCCAAGGACCTCTGTGGTCATTTCTCCCATTGCCTGGGGCCCTCAATCTTGAAATTGGAACTAGCCTGTGGTGACCAGCCAGGAGGGGAGTTCTGAGATTCTCTCCCTCCTTGCAAATGAGTTAAAAGTGACTGGTCACTGACCAGCTCCTTATTGCCCTGCAGGTGACTGTGATTGTGGCCAAGAGAAGGACATACATTCCTTAAACCCCAGCAGAGAACTCTCCCTTCTCTTTCCCTTTCCCCTTCCTTTCTGTCTGCAGGTGCTCCCGAGGGTCTGGGTTCACAGACATCTCAAGGCAAGAAAAAGAGGAGGAAACTATCCCGAAATGTCACAGGAAACAACTGCATCATGCAAACTCTGCAAAGAAAATGAAGGGAAGCCCAAGGGCAGTGTGCCGGAGAGAGAGGAAGAACGCTCCTGTGGAGAACTGAAGGCCAGCAAACTGAAGGGAATTTCAGGCAAGGGCCGCTTCAGTCTCTCGAGGAATCTAAAGAGGACAGATTATAGGCCTTTTAATAACGGAGAAACGATGAGAGATGAGATGGAAAGGAGTTTGGAAGTGATAAGGGGTCAGAGAAAGAAGTTTAGGGCTCTGCATTCTAACCACAGGCATTCTCGGGCCATCCTTATCCCATTTAATGCGTTTCTCCCTGAATTCAACTGTTTTCTGTTATTAATATCACTGGGTTCTTTTTGTCTGCATTTTCTTGCTAAATATTTGCTACTATTTTACTCTAATCCTTCAATGTTCCTTTGATTTACAGGTGACTCTTGTTACCAACATCTCACCTTTTGACCCAATCTCATTTGTTTAATAGGATGGTTCATTCATTTTCATTAGAAGATAATCATTGTATATTGTAAAGTGAATACAACACTTTGCAAAACATTATATATAAAATGTACATTTATATGTGATATAATGCAAAAAGTCTGAATTATTAGACACCAAAAGTTTAACAGTGACTCCCTGTGTGATCTGTATTTTTTCATTTTTTGCCTACCTGCATCTTCTAATTTTCCAAAAAAATGAATATATATGTGTGTATATGTGTGTGTATTACTTGTGTCACAAAAAGTACTAAAATAGACACAATAAAAGAACCTGTCAATAAAAATAAAAAAATAAAAAAAAAGACTGACTCATCACTGAGGCTTGGGTCATAGGTACCAAATGTAGTTAATTAAAGAGTAGTGGGCTCGCCCTCTCAGGGTGGTTCAGTTGATTGGAGCATTGTCCTGTACACCAAAAAGGTTTCAGGTTCAATCCCCTGTAAGGGTGCATACAGAAGGCAACAGATCTATGTTTCCCTCTC